TCCCTGAGTGAGGTATCCCAGAAGTAGAAACAAACATAGGGTATATACTCACTCATAAGTGGATATTAGATATATAATATAGGCTAAACATACTAAAATCTGTACACCTAAAGAAGCTAAGCAAGAAGGACGACTCTGGGTAAGATGCTCAATCCTCATTCAGAAAGGCAAAGAGGATGTACATCAGAAGAGGGAGAAAACAGGGAATAGGGCAGAAGCTTACCACAGAGGGCTCTGAAAGACTCTGCCCAGCAGGGTAGTAAAACAGATGCTGAGACTCATAGCCAAACTTTGGGCAGAGTGCAGGGAATCTTATAAAACAAGGGGGAGATAGAAATACCTGGAAGGGACTGGAGCTTCACAAAGAGAGCAACAGAACCAAAAAATCTGGACACAGTGTTGTTTTCTGAGACTGATACTCCAACCAAGGACCATTCATGGAGATAACCTAGAACTCCTGCACAGATGTAGCCATGGCAGTTCAGTGTCCAAGTAGCTTCCCTATTAATGGGAACAGGAACTGTCTCTGACATGGATTGATTGGCCTGCTCTTTGATCCCTCCCCCTCAGGGGGGTGCAGCCTTACCAGTCCACAGAGAAAGACAAAGCTACTCCTGAAGAGAACTGAAAAACTAAGGATCAGATGGAAGGGGAGGAGGACCTCCCCTATCAGTGGACTGGGGGAGGGTCATAGGTGGAGATAAGGAAGGATGGGATTGGAAGAGGAGGGGAGAGGAAGCTACAGTTGGGATACAAAGTGAATAAACTGTAACTAATAAAAATTCAAAAATAAAAAAAGAATACCATTACACTGACAGGATTAAGCAATCAACTGACTTTCTTGGTTGAACTATCTATCAGGCTATCTATTTTAGCTATCTATCAGCAGTTAACTCTTTCAGTTCACTGGTCATAAGATACCTAAAGATTGCAGGACAGTTGATGTATCTCCCATTTGTATCTCCTGACTTCTTGGCTCAGAGATATTTTTTTTTTTTTTTTTTTTTTTAGCAGTCTATTGTTTAACAGTACAAAAAAGAAGCCTTTTACCTGGGAGATCCAAGAAAAGATAATAAAGATAGCTTATTACTGTATACCTTTGAATTTACGTAGTTAATTATAAATAAGAATTACCACTAATAACATAGCTTTGGGTGTTTTAGAGATACAAAAATTAATAAAGAGGATAATTAACTTTAGATGTTGAGAAAAGAGAAACCTGGTTAGAACAGTCACTGTTAATTCATCCATTTGTAGTATTTTCTAACTGTGGGTGCAACACAGAGAAATTCTACTGAGCAGCTTCACTTCTGGAAACCTTAAATATTAAATATTAGCCTGAAAAAAAAAAAAAAACACAGTGTGAAAGTCATTTCACCAGTGAGGAATTATTTATCTCAAATACTAAGTACCACAGAGAAAAGGGGGTTAGCTCCAGAGTTGATTATTTAGCAAGAAAAAAATGTCCTATTTTATATTAGTTGTCAGTCTTGAATCACAATGTAAAATCATGAATTTCTCCCCTTTGTTTTTCTTCCCAGACAGCTCTTTATATTATTTAGAAAACTTGGACTTTCCCTCCAACTTCTATTTACCAAGAGTCCGACCTCCCAGCATTGTGCAATCAGAGGCAGATGGCTCCCTGTCTGTTCAAAGTATCCAAAAATAAATAAATGAATGGATGGATGAATGAATAAATAAATAAATAAATAAATAAATAAATAAATAAATAGATAAATAAGTAGTAATAAGGAGGAAAAAAGGTGAAGAGGAGGAATCCTACTCCCATGAGAAAAGAGGTGAGGGTGAGAGTTAAGATCATCACTGATTATTTACACCTCCTGGGGTTGAAAGAACCTCCACTAAGTCTGTGATCCTGCAGATTATAAACAACATAAACAGGTGGTCTTTAAAGAAATCTGGACAGGACCTAAAGAGGAAAGCAATGGTGTCTTCTGAAGTCAACTTTTTGAAGAAGTTTGAATAATTTTTTTTCATATGAACTCAGTTTCAGTGCAGCAGTGCTGAACCTGTGGGTCCACACCTCTTTGGGGAATGAATGTGCCTTTCACAGAGGTTTCATTTCAGCATCCTGCATATCAGCTACTTATAATTCTTAACAGTAGCAAAACTACAGTTAAGAACAACAGAAGCAACAAACTACAGAAGCAACAACCAAAACAGTTTTATGGCTGGGGGTCACGGCAACATGAGTAACTATATTAATCGGTCACAGCATCAGAAGATTGACAATTGCTGTTCAGTGGTAAACTAATAGTGTCATTATTTTTATTTAGAAGATTAGTTCTTGGGTCCATTTTTAATTTTCATAGCAGACTTAAATATGTCTTTCTGCTTTGGTTAAACCCTTTTAGTCTTTCATGACAGTTTCAGACTTGTTCCTGCAGGGCATCACTGATTTAAAAAACAAAAACAACAACAACAAAAAAGTAGCCATAAAATTCACCTAAACTTTTGGAGAAGTGTTTAAGAGATTGTTAACTGTTTAGAATTATTCATATCAAATTTGTAAGTTTGAAGTATTTCAACTAAGAACCAAATCAAATAAGGTTGTATGTTCTACATATATATGTAGATAATATCACCAGTCCAAAATTTCTAGTTCAAAGAATATCACATGCAACAGCTTTTGCACCCATTTAAGTTTACTTACTGATCCTTTTAAACCAACTCCAGAACTCCTTCAATTAACAACTATCACTTTATTACCTCTATTTGGGGCCAAAACACAAACTTCAGACCACTTTCCTCATTTACTAAGCTTAGCAGTAAAAGACTATACAGTATTTCAAAAGTTCTATCTTTTGGAGGTTCCAGCCTCTGAAAATAAAAATACTAACAGAAAATACTAACAGAAGAGAGTAAAGCTAAAGAATGAGTCCAACAGTGTTTCTGCAAAAGCAGAACTAACACAGTCTACACTTTTCAAAGGTGACATTCTAAGGGGGAAACCTTTGTTGTGTTTTTTAAAATTTAGTCACCTTATTGTACAGTATCTTGCAAGTGTAGCTCTTGAAAATTATCAAAAAACATCAGTTAGAGAAGGACTGACTTATGGTAGAGTTCAGAAATTGCTATCCTTGTAAGTAGAGCATGTGGGCAGGCTAAGTACCTTTGAACTAAGGAATATTTGAAAGCTTCAGAAACAAATTCTGCCCACCTTTTCCTCTGAAAGTAGTAATAAAAACAAGAGTTCCTTTTCCTCAAGGATGATAAAAGAAACCTAACACCTAGAAAAGCCACTCCTTCCTTAGAAAATCCTTTCTAGAGGGTTCTGTGCCTGTAGCAGGGTAGAAGGAATGCTACACAGAGGTAGAGATAAGAATAGGAAGACTGGCACCAGGATCTAGGTGTGGTGACACACACCTCTAACGCCAGCATTTGGGAGGCAGAGGTGGGCAACTCCCTTAGTTCAAGGCCAGCCTGGGTTACAGAACATATTCCAAGACATCTAGGACAATAGAAAGAAGCCTTACTTCGAGAATCGACAAACATCTTTAATCCCAGCACTTGGGAGGCAGAGGCAGGAGGATCTCTGTGAGTTCGAGACCAGTCTGATCTAGAGTGAGAACCAGGAGAGTCAAGGCTACACAGAGAAACCCTGTCTTAAAAAAACAAAAACACAAGACTTGTGACAGGCAACCACCATTAGATCACACCCTTTTGTCCACTTTCCTATTTATCTGTCAACTCCTAAGTATAAAAACAGTTTTCTTTGAGACTCTGGGTCTTCATTTCTGACAGCTCCATGCCACATAAAATGTTTCTTAAATAAGTCTATTATGCTTCTCTCCCGTAGCCAACCTAAACCTTTAAGAGCATGGATCATGACCTTCTTTCTGTGATTGGGGTAAAGCTATCACACGTCTACACTTGAAGACCTTTATGAATTTAATTTCCCACAATAAAATAAAAGATGGCCACTCTTTCTATCTAAAAGGACAATAAATGACATTTGGAAACTTTCCTACATCAGTTCAGTCACAACAGGCCTCAAATTTTGTAGTGAATTAATTTTTTGACAATACCACTTAAAATGACTGGAGATTATAACTTACTTACTTAGGGGTGGGGGGAAATGATGTGTAACATCAAAATAGCTCCTGATGGTGTGTTGACAACTTGATATTATTATCTCATAGATCTGTATATATACTACAGTAAGAAATTATATTAGATAGTATAATGTGACAATGTTTTTGAAAGGCTAGAGTGGTCTCTACGCATAAAATATGCTGTGAACCTATTAATTAATTGTAAAATTCATGTATCATAAAGCAGGTCTGATATTTGAAAACCTGTAGCGGCCACGGACATACCTAAAATTAAAAAGACTGCAGCAAACGAGTTTACAGTTTTTTTTAAAAAAAGTTGAAATAATCTAAATCCCTGCATTTCTAAGCTTAACGAATTAGCAAATTCAAAAGTCAACAGATAATCCAGATGATGTATGGCAATTCCTAAAAAGTGGAGCTGAACACAAGAAAGTGAGAAATGTAAAGACTGATAGCTGCAAGAGAGAGATTATTGGGACGATGAGCCTTAATTACAAACTCAAGAGGATTATCACCAGGACAAGAGTTAACTGAAAACACTGGCTTCCCTTTCCTTCGACGTTGCAACATTTATAGTTTTTCACTTTGTAAAACTTGAGAATTATTCTTCTCAATTGTTAGCATGTTAACAATTCAAAGGCAATGCTACAATCAGGTGGCTTAAAGGAAAAATTAGCGTGGAAGCTACAGATACTGAATTTAGCTCAAGAGAGGTTACTCCGTTGTTAACAGTGGAGATGAGCAATTCAGGAGAGGAGCTGAGGGGCCGGTGGGGCACCAGGGACACAGAGCAAGCGCCTAACTCTCAGGGAAGGACTATCAACAGGAGGCAGCTGGCGGAGCGGCCTGCGGAGCTGCACGGGTGTTTGCAAGCAGTCCGCCCTCCAGCCCTACTCTTCCCTGGGTCAAAGCCACCGTCGTCACCTGGAATGGGAGTTCCGGAGCGACTCGATCAGCCGCTGCTTCTGCTGCTGGAGACTGGTGAGGCCGGCGGGCGAGCCGGCCGCGGAGGATGACGCGCTCTTGGCCAGGGGAAAGAGCCAGCTCATCCTCCTCCAGTCTCCGGGCCCGAGGCCCTCGAAGGCTCCGGCCTACTCCTCCTGGCTTAGTCCAGTCGTTCCCCGGCGACCAAACAGGGCCGGAACGCCAGGGGCCGCGCCTTCTCCCACACGCCACACTCGCACGTTCTTGGCTCCGGCGGGAGACGAGCTAGCACTGCGGGCGGCTGGAATAAACCAGGGCAACTCGCCCGGTGGACAAACCCCAGTACGCCCGCGGCCAGGGCAGCCCGGTCAATCAGCTAGGCCCGGCGCCCTGCCCGTAGCTCTACCGCGGGGCGTCAGTCACCTGCCCGCCCCGCCCTCCCGAGAGCCCCGCCTACCCGGCCTGCGTCATCATGCCGCGCCCTCGCCAGGACGTGCGAGGAGCGACGTCGCAGCGCTGGGCAGAGCACGGCTCCAGCAACCCTTTCCCCTTTGCAGGGCGAGAGGTGTCTATGGGGCACCCGCCGCCGCCGCCGGTACCGCCACCGCCACCGCCGCCGGGTGCTATCTCTATGGCGAGGAGGAGGAGGAGGAGCGCGAGCTCAGAGACACAAGTAGATCCGGCGGGGCCCGGGCGTGCTGGGGCCACGGGAAAGGGGCGGGAGTGGGAACCTGAGGGCGCGCGATGGCGCCCGCTGTTGCGCGGCCCTGGCGGACCGAGCTGGCGGAGAGGGGGGTCGTGGGGGGCGGGTAACGGGCCGGGGGCCTGTCAGGAGCGCGGCGCGCAGTGATGACGCCACCGCTTTGTACCTGGGACTTCGTTGTGGGAAGGAAATTGAGAGTGGAGGGCGGTGGCCTACTTCTCAACTACCAGCTCCTCTCCACATTGCTCGAGGGTCAATCTGGCTCTAGTAAATGCTCTCAGCGCCTTCAGCCTGGCTGTGTGCCAGAGAAGAGAGTTATCACTGACATGAATGCGTCTGTGCTTTCTTCACGTTGCTCTGGGAGCCCACGGAGGACATGCGACCTCAGTAAAGAGAAGGCCTTTGGTGCCTCTTCAGGGCCCCTGAGATGGCAGTAGAGAGAGGGGTGGAGGAAAGCAGTGTTAAATTACAGTGTTTCCCCCTCGTGTGTGTGTTCGTTCGTGTGTACTGGGTTAGCAAGAACAAGAGTAAGAAAGAAGGCGTGCCCAATAGCACCTTTGGTTTCTGAGATTTCTCCAGCTTACATCTACGAATTTAGAACACATGGCATCCTCCTTTAACTCGTTTGTTTTGTTGGGGATTTTGTTTGTCTGTATTCATTACCTCACCTTTGAATATCCTGAACCTTGTATTTATGGCAAGAACTTGAGGTCCCTGTTTGGTATCCATCCAGGGGAAATGGTTACTGGTTTTGAAATTAGGAAATTTTAAATGCACGTATTTTTATTGCCTTCTTTCTTTCTCCCTCCTGCTGTATGAACATTGATTTCTGAGATTGCCTGATGCTGTTTCAGAAAACTTAATTTTTTTTTTTTTTTAATTTTTCCTCTGGTTGGTTTGAATGAGTACCAACACCGGGATTGCAGAATTTTTTTAATCAAGTAAGATTTTAAATGTTTTGTTAGAAGAATAAAAGCAAACACTTTTGAATGAATGTTTGGGTTTTGTTAATTTCTCTCTTTTTTTGGGGGGAGGGGCTTAAAATGGACCATAGATATTTATATATGTGGAGTGAGCTGAACTTGGAACAGATCCTAATTAGTGAAATTTATGTCCAAATGGGAAATTGGAGTTGTGGTGCTTTTATTCTGTATATAGTAACTGTGTACCATTAAAAAAGTGACTTTCTAAAACTTGATTTTGTTATGAATCATGAACTTTGAATAAGTAACCTTAGGTTTATACCAGCTGAATTTTATAATTCACATTCATGATATAGATGTTTTTTATTCCTACAGGTACACAAGTAAAGGGTAAAATATTTTTATGAAACAAATCTTCAATCAAGTATAACATTTTGATGCTTGGCATCTAGACTCCTTGTGCTGTCACTATGCCAGCAGCAACTGTAGATCATAGCCAAAGAATTTGTGAAGTTTGGGCTTGTAACCTGGATGAAGAGATGAAGAAAATTCGTCAAGTTATCCGAAAATATAATTATGTTGCCATGGTATGAACATGACTAAATCTTTAAAATGCCTTTGTAGGGTGAAGTGGGAATATGGGGGGAGGGGAGAATGAGTGTGAGTGAGAGAGACAGAGTCAGACCGACTGACTGGCTTGTTCTTTCCTTGGCCTGGGGCTTGCTGATAAAGCAAGGCTAACTGGCCAGGAAGCCCCAGGGATCCACCTGACTCTGCTTTCCAAGCACTTAAATTACAGGCACATGGAGTATGCAAGTTTTAAAATGTAGATCCTAGGGATTGAACTGCAGTCCTCATGCTTGCATTACCAAATGAACTGTCTCCTCAGACCCTGGAGTGGGATTTACAAACCTTGAACTAATTAATTTATTCATGAAAAAAAGTTGCTTATTCCCTCCAGCAAAGCCCATCAGAAACAAACCTGTAATTTAACAAGTTGAGCTTGTTACTGCTTGCATTAAGTGACAAGGGATTAGAAGTCATGGGCAATTGAATAAAAGTGTTAGAAATACGTTAGTATTGGGGCTTGGGTCAGGTGGTTTTAAGGGCTTAATGGAGACTGGCTCTGTCATGGATCAGATGCTCTTTAGAAACCATGGTGTACCTATGGCTTCTTCCTGAGTCTTAGGTGCTGAGTAAGAAGATGAATGATACTGGGGCTGCAGAGGGCCAGTAGTTAATCGTTTAGCTAGGATGAGAAAGGTAATCCTCTTTATGGTTTAGTTTTTGGTTTTTTTTTTTTTTTTTTTTTTTTTTTTTTTTCGGGACATGGCTATAGATGTATTTTATTTTGTGAAGCTGATTACATTCAATGGGAGGACACTAGAGCCTGTCTAAGAATGTCAGCTCAGTTCTAAGCAATCCCAAGGCCATGCTACTAGTACCAGATAAGGTTTCAGAAGGCAGTGAATTCCTGGACATCTATATCAAACAAAACTGATATTAGATCTTTTAGGAAAACATTGCTAAAGCTCCAAAACACACACTACAACATTAAACAACTCTGCTCTTATAGGTGGTATTCAGTCTGCCTAGACTGTATTGTTATCTTTCTGCTTTGTTATTGCACTTTGTGTATTTGTTACAAGTCTTTTGTTTTCTAGGTCTACGTGATTATTAGCTCTAGAAGGCAGTATTTTAATGTCTTACACTCTATCCCCAGCCCCCTCAAGTGTAACCTAATGCTTATAGAATCCAGTAACTGTCTTGTGGCTGTCCTAAATTTGAGGAGTTTCGATTTCTTCACTGTTTCATACTGACTCACTATTTCTTTTTCTTTTTTCTTTTTTTTTTTTTTTTTCTTTTTGGCTAGCCTTAATTTAAGTTCTCTTGCTAAAGTAATACATAATTTCCCTAGTATCAAAACTTAAAAAACAAACAAACGTACATCTTTGAGAATGAACAGGATGCTTGCTTAAAAAAGGAATGTCTGCACATAGACAGAATTCCATTCAATAAAGCTGTACTTGTCCATTATTAGAGCTGAAACTTTCTTGTTAGGCAGGGACCGTTATTTTTATGGGCAGCAGAAATTGCTAGTGGTCTTTTATATATCAGATGATAAGGAATAGCTGCATTCCAGAAATAATAATAGCTTATAAGAGGAAGTGGAAATCTTGACATGCTTTCTGTAAATACAGACAATACTGGGCTAAATAAAGAAATTAAAAATTACTGAGACTTTTTCTTTATTTTGATGTCAAGATAAATGTTGCCTCACAGAAGTAATTGGAAAGCACAGTATATTTTCCGCATTTTGATCAATCCTTCATGCATTTTGAGTTTAAAATGGAATGCTATAAGCATAGTTTCATTCCTTAGGGATGAGTTCATGCTTTTCTTCTTGGATATGGAGCAAATATTTGCTTGAGTTTATCATGAATTGTCTGTACAGGATAATAATTTATTGATAAACTTAAGCTAAGAAAAAGTAATTGATTTTATAGAATTTGGAGTCTAATAAGTAATGCTCTTTATACTTATACAATACCTAATCATTGACTATAAACATACAGAATGTCATTGTAATAGAATTCTCTGACTTGCATCAAAAATTTCCTGAGAATTTATGGATTGTATTGATGTATTAGTAAATAGTAAATCTTAAAATTATTTTACAGGACACCGAGTTTCCAGGTGTTGTTGCAAGGCCCATTGGAGAATTCAGGAGCAATGCTGACTATCAATACCAACTATTGCGATGTAATGTAGACTTGTTAAAGATAATTCAGCTAGGACTGACATTTATGAATGAGCAAGGAGAATACCCTCCAGGAACATCAACTTGGCAGTTTAATTTTAAATTTAATTTGACGTAAGTGGGAAATAAATATATAACCCAACTTTTTGTTTCTAGTTTAATTTTAAGAATTGAATTTGAATGTCGTGAAATTCTAAGTGAATTTGCTGTCGTTTCCTTGGAAATTTATTAAATATAGAAATTCAAAAGCTTAGGTTTATTATTATGAGACAATTGATATAATAAAAAATTCTAATTTCAAAGACTTTAGTTATAGAGATGTTATTTCTAAAATATGACGGCCGTTTTTCTGGAAAGTTGTGAAACTGTATTTTTGTTATTATTTTCTCTTGCGTTTGTCATTGTTAAATCTGCAGATTAAACGTGGGATCCTAAGACACGAGTCTTAGGTTATTGACTTTACTATTACATTTTGTTGTTTTGTTTTTCTGAGAGAGGGTCTCGTTATATACATAGGCCAGGCTGGCCTGGAACTCTCTGTGTAGACAGTGCTGGCCTCAAACTCCCAAAGATCCTTCTGCTTCTACCTCCCAAATGTTGCGATTAAAAGACATGTGCCACCACACCCAGCACTTTCACTTTTTTTTTTTTTTTTTTTTTTTTTTGCATAATTTGAAAGTCATATAATTCAGGTGCCACTTTTACTGACCAAGAAGGCAGGTACCATTCATGTACACCCCCAGTCCGCTCTAGAATTGTTGATAGTCATTGTTCCTATTAAGATATTCTTATTACAATCATGCTTTGCATTCTAAATACTTATCACATGCTGTAAATAGTTTCTTAGAAAGTTGGATACATTTTCTTCTCAAATTCATGTTCTTTAAATGACAATTCTCATGTCATAATCAAAACCTCTTAATCTACATACAGAAAATGTAATAGTATTAAATCTTGGATATATGCCAGAATCTGATCTCTATCTCAAATCTTGAGTATAAACTTCATTTCCTTAGTTAGAATACTTCTACATTACATATTGTAGTCTTGATAGCTG